AAACGATGTTATATTAAATAATTTAAGTAAATCTATTTTTAATAATAATATGCTTCCATCTTTATCTTTCATTGAAACCTTAAACCTACATCAAAACCAGAACATGCATAGAATAGCTTACAATGACATCCAACATATCAAGGATATGAGCACACGTCATGGTAAACCCATATACATTAACAGAAATACTAGCACAAACTGAAGATAACTTACCATCGAGTCCCAAATTGCAAAATATTATAGTTTCAGTTCCCACGGTATGTGAAAAGTTTTAAATAAATATTTTGTCCAAAAGAGGACTTTGATTAATATGTATATATGGAGGTAACTAGACGATTATTTTTAAGTATTTTTTCCTAAGTCAACTAATCAACATTTCTATAATTGTTAGTTTTGGTCACCATTTTAACTATTAAAGCTTGACTGTGTGTCTTTTATTAATGAAGTAAACACTAAATACTTGTATAATACAATATTTTATTTTATTCCCCTTTATAAAACGTGCTCAATGAAATTGTAACCAACACGTTATATAATAACAACAAACAAGATTCAAGAATTAAGACCATTAAAGAAAATCACATTTTCTTGTCGAGATTCTTTTGTACAAATTAGGTAATGATGACAGGATCGAAGCAGATGAAGATCAATGTGTGGAGGCAAAGCAAGTGGTCACACCCCAAAGTGAACCTCGATGGAAACATCAGTTTTGGTTTTACTCATTACCAAATTCCATCACGCTATAGATTCGGTTTCAATTTTGGATCCATCATTCTCTCTACCGACTTTGTTATCATTTTCTTCCACTTACTTTTCTCGTTTTTATATACAAACTTTATGTATGTAACTATGTATACGTTGTACTAAGAAACCAAACGAACGTTTTATTTTTGTTTCTGTCGTTAAAATCTCATCCACGGACCACTATATGAAACTCGAACGTAATTGCCTCCTACATATATCATTTTCAATAGTTTAAGACAAAATGGTTTTAGTGTTGTTAGGAAAAAAAGACAAAATGGTTTAAGTAAATGTCAGAAACCCAAAGAAAATATCGGATAACACAATTACTATCAAACTGATAAAAGCTATATCCTCGTGGTTGAAATTGAAAAAAAAAAAAGGAAAAAAACCCC